TGCAGGTGCTGCTGCTGCTGCTGCTGCAGCAGCAGCACCTCGTCTATAACTAATGGGACGGACTGTCCCCGCAGGGGCCCCACAGGCGATCCCTCACTAATCCCGAAGGGCTCCTGGCGCACAAAATCAGCTGGACAGCTGTGGGCTCCCCGCTGCAGCAGCAGTAGCTGCTGCTGCTGCTGCTGCTGCTGCTGGTCCTGCTGCTGCGGCTGCTGCTCCTCGTGATGCTGCTCCTCTTGCTGCTGCTGCTCCTGCTCCTCCGGCTGCTGCTCCTCTTCCCCTTGCTGCCCCCCCCCTGAAATGAAAAGCCAAAAGCGCCGCAGCTTTCCCATAGGCGAGACGGAGTCTTGCTGCTGCAGCTGCAGCAGCTGCTGGACGCTGCTGCTGCTGCTGCTGCTGCGCGTGGGGGACTCCGACTGCCCGCCCGACCCAGCAGCAGCAGCAGCAGCAGCATCTGCGTGGCATGCAGCACGAGCTCTTGGCCGCCGGTCCTCAGGGGCCTGCAACACTGAGGGGCCCCCCAAGGGGGACCTGAGGGCCCTTGCTGCTCTTCTGCTGCTGTTGGGGCTGCGCTGGGGCGAGGGGTCCCCTGCTGCTTGCGCGCCCTCGTGCTGCAGCCACCCGCTGCTGCTGCTGCTGCTGCTGCTGCGCTGCTGCGGCTCTTCCAGCTGCAGCAGATACGACTCAAGAGAAGGCGGCGGCAGCCGCAGGGGCCCCCTGGGGCCCCCGAAGCCTTCAAAGCTGCTGCTGCTGTCCGTGGGGGGCCCCTCAGGTATCGCCGCGAGTGCAGCAGCAGCAGCAGCAGGAGCCTGCTCCGCAGCAGCAGCAGCAGCAGGGGAAGCATCTAGTGCCTGCCTGTGCCGCTTAAGCCTTTCCTTGTAAAGAGCTGTTTGCTGCGCTTGCTGCAGAATGAAGCTCTTCTTTAAATTTAAAGCTAAATCTAAACTCAGGGCCCTTTGCTGCACATCGGGGGGGCCCCTGTTCTCTCCGCAGGGGCCCCCAGGGCCCCCCTCTCCCAGCGACAGCTGCAGCAGGGGCCTTCCTGCCTTTGCGAGCTCCAGGGGCCCCCCGGGGGGCCCCAGGGGGCCCCCCGAGGGGGCCCCCAGGGGGCCCCCACGGGGGGACCCCTGGGGGGCCCCCTGGAGGGCCATCTGTGGGGGCAGCAGCAGCGGAGAGGGGGACCCCACAGGGGGCCCCTGATAAAGCTCTAGAGAGAGGCCTCGGCCCCGCGGTAAAGGGTACTGCTTTGAAGGCTGGGGCCCCCCAGGGGGCCCCTCAGGGGGGCCCCCTGGGGGCCCCTCAAGGGGGCCCCCCGGAAACCCCTCCGGGGGCCCCTCCGGGGGCCCCTCGGGGGGCCCCCGCGAGGCCTCGCTGCTGGAGGAGCTGCCTGTGGCTGCGGCCTGTGAGGGTGAGGGGCCCCTTAGAGGGCTTTTTAAGGCCGCCATCTCCTGCTGCTGCTGCTGCTGCTGCTGCTGCTGTTGCTGCTGCTGCTGTTGCCCGCGCCGCTGCTGGTGCTGCTGCAGGAGGCTCGCATGGCTGTGGCCCATAGGGGCTCCTGCTGCTGCTTCACATGCAGCAGAGCAGCCAGGCGGGGGCCTTTTGCTGCAGGCAGCAGCAGCAGCAGCAGCAGGAGTCATCTACAGCCCCGCGGCGCTGCTGAAAGTCCCTTCGGGCTTGCTGCAGCAGACGTCGCTTGACAGCAGGCCGCATCTTAAGGTAATTGCATCGAGCCCCGCTGCTGCTGCTGCTGCTGCTGCTGTTGCTGCTGCTCCTGC